AGAGTGTATAGGGAGGAGTCGCACGCAGAATTTGTTCTGGTAGAAGAGCTCAAGCGTGGTGTTCTCATGTGTCCGACATTCTCTCAACCCGAGAGATGGAGACACTACCTCATGGATACTATTGGTGCGGATGTTTTCCTGCGCACTGGAAACTGAGAATTTATTAAAAGTTCACTGAATATACGCTAGGTCTAGTTTGTCCGTCCCCCTTGCATCACTCCAAAAGTAGCGAGGTGATGCAACCTAACGGTGCATCATAGGCCATACATCGTCCTGATTAGGTCCAATATGGTCCATTAGGTCCAAGCGTCTGTCAAAATGCCTGGTAAGTTTTGAGCAACTTTTGCGACAGTACTGAAGGCGGAAAGAAGTCTTGGTTTGTGAGTACGATCAATGCGCCGTCTTCGAGCCAAAGGACCGTTCGCATAAATAAATGTATGCCTCTATAGTCATCTCGCCAACTGACGTGGAAGGCATGTAAAAAAAGATGGACGGATTCGAACACTTATTGGGCATATCCGAACTCGAACCGGACTCTATCGCAAGAATCACCGATGATTTAGAGGAACATACTGAGCGAGCGTGATGAACCTGCTACACCATATGCCCGTACCGGGGGGAAGGAATGGTCTTCATTCAAGACCATATCGTCAACAAAGTGTGACGACGATCCAACAAAGGAACGAAGCACGGTCGTTGGGAGACAAAGGATCGCCCCTTTACAGGAGCTCCAACGCCAGATACCCATAGAAACGCGATTTTCCCCATGCGTATACTTCAGGGACATTTCGATGACCTAGGACGCCACACTCATGATCAGTTATCTTCGAGTCTCATAACTTGTGAAGAAACAAGGATGGTACATATTAATATGAAAAAGGTGTACGTGGTACGGATGATAAAGGCGAAGAGATTACGGATAAAATAGACAAAGATATTATGAATGACGAAGGTCACGTACATACCTCGCAACTTGACCAGTAGTATGGCATACTCGTGGCGAAGGACGGGGTTAAGGACCTATCGGGTGATGTGCGCCGTTTTGAGAGCCACGACTTTCGTGTTTGCGCTCGCCCCAGGGATTCCTATTAGTTCTTGGATGTTCGAGGCTGAGGTGCGCATTTCGGCAAGGTATACTTCTCCTTCATGATTTTATTTCATTTCAGTATTATCATGAGTGATTCGACCGTTCCATGCGCCGGCGTGAACTCTTCGCACCGTGGTGACGAGGAGAGGAGAAGATAGGGGAAGGTCACCGCTCACCAGAAGCTCCTCCTCATCTATCACAGTAAGCGTCACCGAAGCAGGCTGTGCCGCAGAAGTAGCTTCATGAGCCATTCAGAGCATGGTACGGCCCATGTAGAATATGGCGGGGAACTGAGGAACGGACGAGGACGATGAAAACTCGAAAGATCGTCCGGGAGTTGCCGTTGAGTCCGCAGCCACTGTGCCACCATATGCATGTGGCCCGGTTCTGCTTCGAGACTCGAGACTTCCCCTTCGAATTCGAGCGCCCGTCCCAGGTGAGCAGACGAGGGATTGAGATCGATACGAAATAAGATGATATGATATGGTATGGTATACAAATATGTAGTACAAAACACAAACAGACGAACAGACACAGACAAGCACAAACACAGACAGACACAAACAGACACAGACAGACACAAACAGACAGATTCAGCAAGCAAAGCGAGAACGAAACGCGGCAAAGTACACATACAATCGCACTCAACAACAACAACAACAACAACACAAAAAACGAAACACTCTGTCGAAAACGGACGAAGTCGCCACCGTAGCCTACCTATCCCTCCCCCTCAAACCCCCTCTCCCGCTGCGCACTCCCCACACTAATAAAATACGGTCTTCTCCCCCCTCCTTCTCTCCTCCCTTCCCCACCGTTACTGCCGCCGCCAGAACTACTACCACCACTCCCGCCCGAACTGATAAAACTCGTCTCCGGCGTCCATTGGATGTCGTAGCTCTCTTGTCCGACGCGATCTGGTTGTCCGACTCGGTCTCGGCTTCGACTTGGTGGAAGTTGTGGTTGGGGTGGCTGACGTGGCGGGGGAAGTGGCGGTTGAGGTGGTGGTGGTGGTGGAGGTGGTTGTGATGAGTCGAGGTGTGATTGTGGTGGTTGTATTTGTGGTGCGGGGTTGGAATGTGTATGTGTTCGCGGCAGCGACGGGGGCACCGGAACCGGTACCCCAGGCGGCCTCTCCATCTCCACTTTTGTCGACTCCCCACTCATCCTCACCTTCCCTCCCGGCCTTGACTGTCCCGATTGCGGCGTCTGTGGCGTCTGCGGAGATGGTGGCACAGGATGCATAAGCCTCGACGCCGAATTCGGGACCTCCCCTTCTCCCTCCGCCCCCTCCCCATCCCCGTCCACATCGCTCCCAGACCCCGATCCCGTGGTGCCAGTCGTCCCCGTCGTCCCCGTCCACCCCTTCGACCCCTTCGATCCCTTCCCCCCCTCCTCCATCCCCATCTCCATCTCCGACCCACCGCTCTTCATCCCCCCCTCCCTCCTCGTCTCAAGCACCGTCCCCATCCCCATCCCACCGCTCAACGCCCTCCCCAACCTGGTAGTAGTTATACCATTCGTCGTCGCTCCCTCTCTCGTCCCTATAGTCCATCTGGAGCGGAACCGGAACGTAGTACTAAACGCGAATCGTGGCCCTCCCTCCTCATCATCATCATCTTCAACTTCGCGTTCTGTGTCCGTTCCCCCTCGAGGAGTGCCTGGAGTACGCCGGGTCCGTGGGGTACGCGGTGCGCCGTCGCCTGAAGATTCACCGACGCCGCACCAGCGGAGGATGGCGGTTGCGACGACGGGGACGTTCGCTACGGAGAGGGACATGCAGTCTTCGACTAGGGCGGCGATGACGACCTTTATCCACGCCACATCCATTAGCGTACCATTCTCCCTTCTCCCGTGAAGAGTAGTAAGAGGGATAAGAGGGAGATAGACTGACTTTGATTCCGCCATCGGTGATGATGTAGGCTGCGTGCACGAGGGAGACGATGGTGGTGATGATGGAGGTTGAGAAGATGATGTAGAGACGGCGGCGGAGGGAGGAGGATTTGATTCCGTGGATTAGGCGGAGGGGGAGGGTTATGAGGAGGAGGTCGGAGAGGACGTCGGCTGTTGAGTTGGGTTGGGGAGGGACCGTGGGTCGTGGTTTGAAGTTTGGGGGAGACGGGAAGAAGGGAGGGAGACGGAAAGAAGGGAGGGAGGGGATGGTCAGTTCAAGGGTCGGGGGGAAAACGATAGAAGGAGAAGGAAACGTGGAGGGAAAGTAGAAGAAGGATAAAAGTGGAAGATATCAGAGAAGGAAGAGAGATATTGGGGACGGGGACGACAGAGCGTAGGAAGTGAAGAACGAATAGCAACATGGATATGGATGGATAACTCCATACAAACAAACAACCAACGAAAACACTCACAAACGACCTGACAAATAGCCACCTCCTTATTCAACGCACACTGCGGGCTCCTCTCCTCCTTCCAACCCTTCTGGGGTTCACACACCCAAAGCAACTGCGCCAGAAAAAATAAGATCGCGCCGAAGAAAAGGCCGGCGACGAAGGTGAGGCGACGGCGGACGTGGGGGTCCGGGTCGATGCGGATGATGGAGAAGAGGATGGAGAGGCGGGCGGTCCAGATTGTTACGTAGAAGGTGGAGGCCATGAGGTAGTAGGCTGCGATTAGGGAGGTGTGCGGGAGGGAGTCTGTGGGAGGAGGGGGGCGAGGTTAGTGAGGTGGTTTTGGGAACGGAGAGAGGCACGCAGGAGCTGCAGAGGAAAGCTGTCGTGGATTCACGAGTTTGAGGAGAGGAAGACTAGATATATGCGTGGTACATGCATAATCGCATGCGGATAGGAGCAGTTAGGTAGCAGCCCAGGTATACTGCTGCGACAAGAAAAGCGCCAAAGATAGCGGGCACGACTTGCACCCTCCAGATACATCAAAGAACAGACGCGAACAGCTCAGGGTAGAATGAGAGGACGATGCGAGACGTATGCGCATATCTGCCAAGTGTCAGGCGAAGACCAGAAGGAGGGGCAGGAGACTGGACGAGAGCGATGCCAAGAGGCGTAGCGAAGATGCAGAGGCGGGTAGGTTGAACGAGTAGGGAGGAGAAGATTGCGAAGGGAAAACAGAAATAGAAATAGAACGAACCAGGGTTCTCTACGTGCATAAACACGCTCACGATCTGAATCAAAAGACTAGTAAAAGATGAGCTACATCGTCCAAGTAAAGTAATCCGAAGAGAACGCACCAGAGCAAGGAAAAGAACGTCCAAGCATCATCCCACCAGTATCTCCCTCTCCGAATATACAGCCTGACTGCAGTCATGCATATCGCGACAAATCCACAGACCGACTCTGTGACTGATCGAGAGATGCGTCAGTGGCGGGGCGGAGAGGGGAAGTCAGACGGACGGACTCTTTATCTGGATGAGCGGATCATCGAGGTCGAGTGCCATCGACCCTCCCGATGTCCTGTTTCTTGGTCACGGTTACGTTCGGAACGGTTGCGTGGAGTGGATAGCTGCTTGTTCTTGTCGTAGCAGACGATTCGGAGGAGTGGTATAAGTAGAAGAGATGGGCTTGCTGCTGAGGCCATCGTCCACTCCATTCGGGTCAGAAAAGAAGCTCAAGCAAGCGCCGACCGCACGGTCTTCCATCTTGGCCTTCCGGCCCCGAGGCTTCCCACGCGGTTCTTACTCCTCTCTCCCACGCTCACATTCCTCCGCCCTTCCTCTCCTCCTTCGCCTCCTCCTTATGCAACCTACGACGCCGATATCTGTACATGTACTGAGTCGACCCTCGCCTTCTCGTTTGCTCTACAGGTACAAAGCCATCGTGGCGCACCGTCCATCCAACTCGCAGATCCTCGAGATCACTTGAACGCTCCGCTCCATCATCAACATCAGCATCAGCAGCTCCTCTGATCATCATCCATGCAAAGTTCACTCTATCTACCGTAACAAGACCTCTTCAGGCTACATTGAGCGCCGTCACCTCTGCTCCACCTTCTCCCCAAGATCCGAGAGACTCTCCGCGAGGTGCTTTTCGTTGCGATTTGACAGATCTTCCATGTTCTTGTGTTCTCGTCCTTGCTCGTCCCTCTTCGGTCTGTGCTGTCATCTGTGTTATATTCGACTTTGTTGTGGATTTCGACGAATCTTATGTGTCTCCTTTGTTACTCAAATGCTCGATTCGGGATTTACGCCAAGTATCCTCCATCGTCTTGTGATCAACATCAGCACTTCATCGTTCTGCTCTCCCAGCCATCTCTGCCTCACACCATCATCGACTCCTGCGCACACCCTCATTGACACTCGTCATTCTCGGATTCAGAGCAGAAACTATATCAACAAATGTGACAGACCTTGTGAACGAAAGCATCGGAGCTTGTTCTTCGCCGTTCTTTGTCTTGGATTCCTAGCTAGATAATTATGCGTCGTTTCTGTCCCTCGTCGACGTCGACGTCGCTCAGTGTGCTAAAGAGCGCCGTATTGCATACGGTAAGTATAGATCCCTTTCGATGCACAATAAGAAGAGATCGGACGAAAGAGGGTGTACTACGCATCCTGCTCGATTACTCGTCTTTCGATCGCGACCTCGCTTGCTGTACTCATGATCAGTCGACGTCCCCGTTCTCAGTTTCTCTACATCCACAAAGCACATCGTGGCGCTCCACTGGCATGCTTTCAACTCCCAGATCCTCGAGATCGCAATGCTGAGCTCCATCATCAACATTACACAGCGTCTCCTCTGATCATCATCCATACAAAATTCACTTTAGCAACCACAACGAGCCCTCACCATCCCGCATTGACATCGAGCGCCATGATCTCTGTCTGCTCCACTTTCCTCCCAAGATTCGAGGAGAATCTCCGCGGGGTCTTCGTTTCGCTTTGACAGATCTTCTATGTTCCTATAGTTACTTATGTTCTCGTGTCTCTGCGGTCTGTGCTGTCTGTGCTGTCTGTGTTGGTGTTGTCTTGGTCTTCGGGCTTTTTCGCCAACATTTATCTGTCCTGATCATCGTTCGTCGATCATCGCTCAACGTTCAACGTTCAACACTCCGACCTTACGAGTATATGCTCTATCGGCTTTGGATCAGGGCAGCATCGAGCGAACTATCACCACCCTAGGGCCCACTCCATCGTTCCCCTCTCCCGCCGTGTCTCTCTTCAAGTTATCCCCCCTCACCCCCCCCCCCTTACCCCCTCCCATAAGCACTCTCGTATCTCACCACAACTTGTATCCACCATCGAATCCAATGCACTCTAAATCATACCCTCACTTCTCATTGCCAGTGGTTGCTTTAAGTTTAAAGCGATAGAGGCTTAAGCTTGATCTCGCGGCTCTGACTCTAACACTCGCTCGGGCTCCTACATAATCAATAATTGCTCCTGCTTTCGGTCTCTCGTCTCAGTGCGTTATAATAAAAAGAGTCTCATACGTACCATCCAGATCCCTTTCGGTTTAAATTCATGTGAAATGATCGGACGGGCAGTAAGTAAAACCTGACCTAGCCCGATTTTGCTGGACGAATTCTCTTTCTCCTACGGCGCACACACGTAGTAAGTATGTAGAGTACTCCCTCGAGTCGGTTTCATCTTTCAATCGTCGGATCGTTGGATACCCTACCGGTGTATGTATAAAGTACAGGATAATGCTCGCGCTTGGTGTACTAGAGGGCCGGCCCGGGCTCTTCTTGCTCTAAGTAAGTACTTTAGCCGCTTTACATGCCATGAAGGGTAAACTCCATATGTTCGGCCAATACGCTCAGTGGACGTAGGTCTCCCCAATATGCATCTGCTCGTACTAGTAGACTGGACTTCAGACATACATAATCTCCAGTATCCCATGAGACAAATGGCGAGACTGAGTCCCACTTTCTACTTTCTACGCCACATGGTGGCCAGTGCGGACGGTGACTCGGATTCGGATCCAACGGCAACTCCCGGACGATCCTTCAAGTTTTCGTCTCCCTCTTCTTCGTCCGTTCCTCAGGCCTCAGCGCTCAGCCCGCCATGTTCTGAATGGCTCTGCAACCTACGACTTTAACGTCTGCAGTTCACCCTGGCTCGGTGACGCTCTCTGTGATCTCTGAGGAGGAGCTTGGCGATGGTGCGTCTGGTGCGTCTGGTGAGTGTCTAACTTCAATCCTTCCTTCCTTCCTTCCTTCCATCCTTCCTTCCTCTGCGCCACGGGGATAGCAGAGGGGATCTCGGAAGCTTGGGGACGAATTACTGATGATGAAGAATGAAATAATAAAGGTGAAGTCTACCTCGCGGAAATGCGTTCCCCAGAAAACCCAGCGGGCCAAAAGGGCAAAGTCGTAGCGCTAAAAACGGTGCACGTAACTTAACGGGATACGTCCTTAATCCCGTCTTGCGCCACGAAGCGGCCATCTTGGTCAAGTTGCGAGGTACGTGACCTTTTTTGCACGACGTATTTGTCTTTTTCAGCCGTAGTAGCTATAGTTCTTTCATGCGTACCATCTACGTCTCTGTATCATCTTCGTCTCTTGTGTTCGTACCATCTTTGCTGTCTCATCCGCACCATATTTGCTGCTCTCATCCGTACCACCTACGTCTCTGTCATCTGTCCCATCGTTGTTTCTTCACAACTCATAAAACTCGAAGACGACTGACCGGCAGCTATGCAATGTTCCCACTTATCCAGGTCATAGAAGTATCCCCGAAGTCTACGCCTGGGGAAAATCTCGTTTCTATGAATATTTGGCGTTGGAACTGTTAGGCAGGAACGTTCTTGAGGAGATACCATCAACGGGTCCGTTGACTTTGCGGAATCTGGTGTCATTGGCATGTCAGATGGTAAACGATTTAGTAACTCAACTCAACGGCATCGCCACTGATTATCTGCTTTGATTTGAACCTTGGCGCGAGCAGCTCGATGCGATCGAACGTGTCCACGCACACGGAATCGTCCACGGCGGCATAAAGCCCGATCATTTTCTTTTCGGACTAGGACCTGGACCGAAAACGGGTCAGATATACCTAATAGACTATGGACTTGCGACGCGGTATACACGTCCTACTTCCGAAGGACCGCACGAATACGAGCACGTGAAGCCGTACGTGTTACGAGAAGCGCGTGGGACGCTCGATTATGCGAGTATCAACATACATCTCCGACGCAGTAAGTCTCATCATCCCAACTCTCCTCACGCTGTCATGAACACTCCATATCGTATCTGAGCTAACAGGACGCGTCCAGGTCCCTCACGCACAGACGACCTCGAATCCCTCTCCTACACCCTCATTCGACTCCTCTGCGTCTCCCTCCCCTGGTCCACTCCCGACATGTCCCACTGGCCCACGGAAGTCGAAATCATGAACCAAAAGAGTGAATGGAACGGTATGGATCTCTATCCTCACTACGGCGGTATATTCGGGAGTTTCGTGGATTATTGTAGGGCGTTAGGCTTTGAGGAGAGGCAGGATTATAAGGCTTGGAGAGGACGTTTCCTAGACCTCGTTGCGGGATTGGGATTGAGCGGGACACCGTTATATGATCCCGCGGATAAGAGTAGCCCGCCTATCGAACCCCCGCCCACGAACGCCACTCCGTTAACACATCCCTCTCGCCCACTTTCAACGATCCAGACCCCAAAGCCTACGTTCCAGAACTCCCAGACGAAGACGACGGCTGGTATCCCGTCCCATCCGGCCACTCACCCTACATCATCCGCGCAGAAGACGTTCTAGAAGACGAGAAAAGAATCGTGCGGAAATATGTGGGTAGGATCGGGGCGGTGCCGGAGATGGGGAGGAGGAGATGCTTTAATGTGGAGAGTATGTTGACGGAGGACGAGGAAGATGAGGATGAGGAGAGGTTTGGGGGACCGTGGGCGGTGGGGGTGTATAATCGGGTGGAAGATTGAGGTATTTAGTCGTGTTTCTCTGTGGTTGAAGATGGTGGCGTAGGAGCGTTCGTGATGGTTGTACTGTTGGATTGTTTGTTGACGATGCAAACGAGAAGACCACGGGGGAGAGGCACAAGCAATGTGCCTTTCGACAGCTTCATCGGGTAACTCGTAATGAACCAGATAAGTAGACCAAAGTAGACGTCACTCTAAAAACACAACCTACGAGCGTCGAGCTCGGACAGCACCATCCTCTTTATTATTTCTCTCTCGCCAGCGAAGCACAAATAGGTAATATTTTGGAGAAAGTGTTCAGAGAATTGTGGTGGCGTAGGGGCAGAGCGGAGGTCAAGCGGAGGCGCTAACGGCGAAAAGTTCTCTATTTGGTCGTGTTTGCTTCTTCCTTCTTCACTTCAACACGGATGTCTCACAAAGAAAATTCTTTTTCGCTCTGCATCTCCTTTCAAAAACTGTCATGTATCTCGAATTATGCCATCCTCAGGCTATTGGTGATGGGGGGTACGGTTTGTTCAAGCATCCAACTTCTCGATGCAACGTGTTCGACGCTGATGAATCTGGCGTTGTTTGGTAGGAAAAGTCTACCATGCCCTTATGGCAACCGACAAGTCTAAGCCTCGAAAACTCATCGCGCTAAAGAAGGCTCGTACGACTAGCCTGGTGAAAAACCCCGTACTCCGACACGAGGCGTGTGTCCTGTTAAGACTACGAGGCAGGTACTTCGCCACAAACCAGACTAACTTTCGCGCTGAATACGCATCATTGTACAGATCATCCCAGTATTCCTCGAGTCTATGCGTGGGGAAAATCACAATGGTTTGAGTATCTTGCGATGGAGCTCCTGGGGCCCTGTATTAATCCTAACACGACGAAAGGGGAGCGCCTCACTATGAGGAACTTGGTAGTGGTTGTCTGCCAAATGGTAAAGTCATTTTATCCCGCCTTTTGGATCCTGTGAGCTAATAGTCACGGTCTCTCTTATCGTTTATAAAGTTCGATTCAATCGGATATATGCACTCACAAGGTCTCGTTCACGGAGACATCAAACCAGACAACTTTTTATTCGGGCTACCTCCCAAAGAGGGAAGAGTTCATCTCATCGACTTCGGTCTCGCAAAGTCTTGGCGCGATCCAGTCACTTTACAACCCTTGCCGCCTCGAACTACTCCAAACCTACGCGGTACTGCACCATTCGCGAGTATCCCTGTTCATCTTCACAACAGTACGTATCTTTGGGCTCTCTTCGATGAGGCCGACACAGCTCATCTCGATAAGGCCCATCTCGCAGAGACGACATCGAGTCCTTGTCATACACCATTGCATGGCTACTTCGTGGACCTCTACCTTGGTACGGCAAGGATGACAACGGCATCTTCCTCATGAAACAGCAATGGTCTGGGCCCGATATCTGCTTTGGCTATCCGTCTGTCTTTGGCAAATTCATCGAGTACGCCCGAGCTATGAATTTTGACGAGGCACCTGACTATGCGTACTGGAGGAAACAGTTTCGCGCTCTGGTCCTTGACCTCCCGGAAGACCCGGACTACGACCATTCCGATCGAACCGAGTCATTCGTAGGGTGTGCGAAATCAGGGAGCCCTTCGCTAAATCACGATGTATGTCGACCCATCATATCTTCCTCGCCGGACTCAGAATGGTCGGACTACTCGGACGACGACTTCTTTCCGCCACAGAGCTGGCCTGGCGCGAGTTCTGTGCATGGCGATGATTTGATTGGGGATGAGGGGAGTTTGGTGCGGGAAGTTGAAAGGATTGTGGATCCTCCACATATGGCGTGGCCGTACACTGAACGGCCAGAACTTATGATAATATGACATTGATCCATTGATTGCAGGAACGGGATCGCTCCAAATGAATACTTTCGGGACAGTTCTTTCACCGACGAATAGCCTGTTATGGCTCAAAACTCTCGGGAGCGACAAAAGTGACTTGGTCTTGGGAGTCTGATCGACCAAGTAAAGCTACATCAAGCGCTCCTGCCTGAGAATGTGTTTTTTTGGAACCTTAGCCGCCCCGCATACTCGTTTCAGATGCTGATATTGTGTTATTTCTATTTTCGTTGCTCACGCTGGCAGAGACAGCTGGACGATTAACGCTGAAGGGCGGGTATCGGATCTCCACTGCTCCGACATTTGCTGTGATATTTACTATTGCAGGTAGTGGGGCGCGACGCACGAAAGAGTGCCTCTCTTTCCACCCCCCATCCAGCTCAGACGGCAAGATCAATGTCGGCACCACTGACACAACCCCCTCAGATTAACATCCAAGATGAAAACGACGACATGGGAGAGCTGGATATGGATGCCTGGACAGCTGCGCGTCCGACTCCAGAGGAGTATAAACAGTCAAAGGGCTCAGAACGCATCTCTGCCATTGGTACGCTTCTTTTCCTGGTACTGTGATCTCTCATCCTCATGTCTTTTCAGAGGATCATGCGCAGACCGTCTACGATAAAGGGAAGGCTATTGATGACTACTATACCGCCAACGAAGATACTCTCAAGGCGGCAAAGCTGGGCCTATCAAAGATTAAAGACCCGCGGATCGTGGAGACCGTCGTTGAACGCGCTGTTGATTTCGGACTCGGAAATATCATTCTCAAAGGCCTTGACGTGATTGGCGAAATACATCCTTTCCTCAAATGTGAGAATGCATTGACGAATTCTCTTCTGATTGAGCTGATCAAAAACCACGACTAGTCGGTGTGACGGCCTTTAAGCTTGTGTATAGCTTAGAGCAAATTCGCCAGAGCAACAACAAGAGGGTCATGCTTCTGAAAGCTCTTATGCAGGAAATGATGGTGACGTTGTTTGAGTAAGCATCCCTCCTCGTCCTAGTACTTCAGCGTCTTACAGAGCGTATGCGAAACAGACTACGCCATGTGAAGGATGTTGACGAGCGCGGTCCAAATGACGAGAGCATTCGAGGTGGTATGCAGAGTTTGATGAAGAGTATCGCAGAAGAAGTCAAGGCCTGTGGCACCGCCTGTCATGCATATATCGAGAAATCGTTTCTACGCAAGTACACCATGCGTGCTCTTGCTGTGTTTTACCCTCTTGTTCTAATGTGTTAATCCTTTCAGGTAAGATGGTAAAATCTCCGAAATACGCAGCAAGGCTGGCTCCATTCGGAGACACGTTCATCAAGCGTAAAGATGATATCCTACGCCAGCTGAATGTACACATTATTCGTGCTGTAGATGCAGCCAACGAGAAGCTAGATGTTCAAGCCACCACTCTCGGAAGTATCAAGGACCAGCTAAGTATGGTCGCGCTTTTTCAGTGAGTGCCCCTGGTCATCATCCCCTCGACGGCGGTTTTAAGAGATCTCTCATCTGCTCATCGCATAGGATGTTGGGTGCCCCAAGGGAAAAGGAGTTGGAGAAGTTCATCCTCGATAACGGCGGCCCTGATAAATGCATCGCAGATGAGAAGATTTTTCAGAAGATCCTTAAGATGTATCCTCCTGAGCGGAAATCCGATCCCAAAGACGTCAGGGAAGAGCTCAAAAAAGAATTGGCAGAGAGTGTTGACGAACTCTTTGAGAAACACCGTAAGGTGTTTGATGGGTTGTTGAAGATTCAGCAGCGGGAGATGCATATCGAAGCTGATCGGGTTATTGATGAAATATCCGGTGCACATGATCGCCGCGTCTTGGAAGCGGTGAGTCTAATAATTTGTTCATGCTTCATTCGGCATGGCATTGACATTGCGCATGTTTTCATAAGGACGTGAAAGGGCTATGGAAATCTATGGTATGTCATCATTCCTATATTACCTGCAGTACCTCCTTTACAGCGCATTGAAAACTTTCAGGGCTGGAAGGGAACAGTCGAAGCACGCCAGTTTGTTCTCGCCCTCCACGACTTCTACGCAGACCATCACTTTGGTTCAATCGCTGAGAGTAAAGCTCCCTCGAGAGTAGGCTCTCCAGTTCCCGCGAGTCCGCTCCCTCTTCACCCTTCCGAGAATGCCCCGGCAACTTTAATTGGCAACGACCGCTGGGCGCTGGCGTATATTGATGCCTCTAATGTTCAGGCCGTTGTAGAGGCCGTGGGTGAGCTGTCTCGGTCCTGTCTCATCAACCTCACCCTCATCAGCTTTGTTGATCCAGACGATGACGTCACTGGGTTCGTCAGCATCAAGGAAGTGAACAAATTCGCAAACAGTCGACCAGACGGATGGAGGTCAGTCCCTGGTATTTCCATCTCAAGACCGAGATCTTATGATGTGACAGCTGGCTTCAGTGGCTTGCCTATTGGGCTACCGGTGAGCATGCGCACGTTCACAACCAACAACACAGAGCTCGGAGCTGAGTTTTGAACAGGATGGCATCTGAGCATTCACCGGTATAAGTTTCAGATCCACACCCTCGTTCAGGAAATGCTCGAGACGGCCAATTCGGTCCACCCCCAGAATCGCACAGCTGCAAATATATATCTTGCACTCGCACCGATGTGGAATATCGAACCTCTGCTACGATCCACGCGTGATCGTGCAGGAACCACAGCGCCAGAGCTAAAACGTCTGACGGAGGACTATACAGACATGGAGCAGACCCGTATAGAGAAGAACTTGGAGTCTGTTTCGTATCGGATTGACGCTTCAGCGACAGTGGCTCTGATTACGAGAAGTAACATTCTTGAACGAGTCAGTTGGTCTAAAATCTGCCGATCCCGTCCTGATAATTTTTTGCTGACCACATTCCCGCCCTCAGTACATATATCCGCTTATATATCTCATACTCCGGAGGCATCACCACCTCCTGAAGCTCGCTTGCAAGAATGTCCTAGACCCCAAGGAGTTTGAAAGCATGACTACGACACTCAAGAGCATCTTTTACGCCGCAGACGACCGAATGTCAGCGCTCGAATGTCCGTTCAGTGCCCATATTCATCGAGAATGCAACTAATATATTTTCCGATTGTATAGCTATCTTCCGCCAGACTCATGCTGATGTTCGAGTTCGATTCGGGCAGTTTGCATTCGGAATGGTTAGTTTGAGCTCACTAAAATATTTTTCGTCAATATTTTCTCATATTTTGTTACGAGCAGTTTCAACTCTCCCATGGCCGTAGTGGGCGAGACCCTTCCAAGAACTGCTTCGTTAGAGCAATCGATGTAGATCCATATGAAGGTTCCCAGCCTACTGCCGAAGAATCTCGAGGCACTGCCATTTCCATCCTCAAATTTGGCATAAAGGATGAGGACGAGGCCTCTCTGTACTTAAAGTTCGCTTCAAGTCTATCGACTTCTTTGGCCTCATCCTCAAATCCACTGGCAGGAATGTGGTCGGGAGGACGCGGTGAAGTCATCGACGGGAAGTACAGGGCCATCGAATTAGTGGAGATCGTGATCAATGAGGAATACGCTGAGGATGGAAGCGCGACGGGTATTGGGCGGGACTACAAGGGCGAGTTCAAGGTTACTGGACGGCTCTCAAATCAGTCTGTTGCCTTTGAAGTGTTCTTCGACGATGGAGTTTCGTACGCGATCCGCGGACAATTTAATGAGGAGCTGGATAGGGTCTCTGGAGTTACCGTTTCTGGGAGTGGTACAGATGCAACAGTACGCAGCCGTGGTCTTTTTACTCCTTATTATTTGCTTAAGTGTGTCAATTCTCAATAGCAACCGATCGACACGTTTGGCGTTAGCGCAACGGACGATACTGAGGTGGTTATCCAAGAAAATACATCCGAACACGGCTCCTCCCCTCCGCAAGCGCCGAGAATCGTCTTTCATCTGGACCGCATCCCCGCCTCACTCCGAAGATTCAGAGGCCCTCCTTCTGAGTATGATCCTAACCCTGCTCGCACACGGTGGTTCTTTGCTAAAGACGCCATCATTTCTCAACCCCATAACGGACATTTTTCCTGGTCACATACGGTCAAACGGGTTGCAGAGCAGCGGCGGTTCATGGATCTGCACATGCGAAATCTAGTGGACTCCAAATATTGGTCGTGCCCGAAAAAGCCTGCCCTAAACGAGGATGAGCAGAAAGAGTTATCGAATCTTCAATGGAAATTGGCTCCTGCGGACTGTAGCCTTTACGGTTCGCTTGTCGAGCTTGAGTTGCAGAGAATGGTCAATTTTTCGTGAGTTTATCAGAAGAAATCAATCATACCTTGTCAATGGTCTAACTTGTATCTTGGAAGCGAATGGTATTGCGATTCCTGCACACGTACCGTGGTGCAGGAGCGACTTGTGTGTCTCCGCTGCATTGACGAAACTTACGGGGACACCATGGATCTTTGCTCCACCTGCGCAGATGCGGAAGCCAGTCGAGATGGTTTCATACACCTTAAATCGCATTCCATCATGAAACTACGCTACTTTGTTCACGATCATGATTTCCCATGGTACATGGCGTACGGGAAAACGATAGCAGACCAAGCCAAGGATCGCTTGCGGAAGCGCGAGATCGAAAAGAAAAACAATCCGAACGCTGGGACGAGTGGTACGGACGCAGATGATTCGCTGGAGATGGAATGCAAGGCATGCGGAAAGGAAATATTGCTGCCCTGTTGGGTTTGCCTCTGGTGTGGTAGGTCCCGGATGAGAAGAGTATTGCAACCGAACTGACCGGGCGGCTCCATCGTTACAGAACTGTTTATTTGCGTTGAGTGTGAATCAGAAGGGCGTCCTATCACTGATCGCCAGTCTCATGACCCCAATCACCCACTCGTACGCATCTCTGACACGAAACCCGAAGGTGGCCCGGCAAATACGGACAAGAAACTACGGTTCTTGGAGGTTGGGTTAAATGATCTGGAGACAAAGTTGGACGAAAAAATGGCTACTCGGCTGTCTCTGATGGAGGCGCAGGTGGAGGAGCGTTTGAGCGCCCTAGAATCCAAGGTTGAGGAACGCCTGGAGCAGATGGAGATTAGAATGGAGGGGCATCTAGCTGCGATGGAGACTAAGGTTATAGAGCGTTTCGGAGGTTTGGAGGACACCTTCAGAAGGATTGTTCAGGAGCTATCGGTGACTCGTACGGAATGACGGGGTTCGCTCACTGAAGCTGAGTGGACTTTGCGTAGTTTTCAATAAGCGGATCCTTGTGGCTTCAAATATATCTCAATAACTTAGTTTCTCGTGCTGAAAAATACTGATACGTCCTTCGTCGTAGGATATCCTCTCGTTCGTCGTCGCAGTATGTCACCCTTAGAAGGTACAGCCAGGCATGAGTGTGCGCGGTGCGCAATAGATGCATACTATCTTCGTTCTTTTCTTGAAGAAAAAAGAGAACAGGAGAATGTTTCCGTTATGTTCTGTGGGAGCACGGAACGGGGACGAGGGCTCAGACTCTTTCTTGGTCGGGAATGTACCTACAAGATCTATTCTTTCTTGTCATGCGCTACTGAAGACAGTCGACCGACATACGATGTTTTACATGGTACACGCATCTTTCACCCTGCTACATAGTTGTCATGTTGACGCAACACCCGAGCGATTTTCACCTTCCCGGAGGTGACTGAGATATTTCTCTGTAGTAGCAGCGGCCGGCGTCGACCAATCCGTACCTTCCCAATATTTGCGAAGATACCCTTCGACAGTGCACGGCCGAATCTGAGGTAGCTTCTGATTCAGCGTAGGTTCGACTGCGAAATCGCCAGCTGCAATCGACTTGGTGACCTGTCAAGGGCATGACTCAGTGCCAAAGAAGACGAAAAGTAAAATAATCACGCGAAAGCGACTGATACCAGATGAGATAGTGGGGGAATTTGGAATTCAACGTACCCCTTCAAGATACTTATTCTCCAACAACTTCTCAGCCCTCTCCCCACCCCCCTGCATCACATACGTCCTAACCATCTTCTTCCCCGTAACCCTATCCACAACATCCACCACCTCCTCAAACGTTGTCGTCTCCCCCACAATCCCGCTCACCTCGTCCCACTTCTCCAGATCCAGACTCTCAGCGACGAATTGCGCCGTATCCTGCGCGGAGGTGAATGTGACTTTGGTAGTGCCATCTCCGGGGATGTCGGCTGTTCCGGCGCGGGCGTCGATGAAGACGTTTCCGGGGGCGAAATGGGCGAGGGCGTCTTTTTGGGAGGGGAGGTTGGAGCCTCCGGCGAAGAGGTTGATGAAGATGCTAACGGGAGGAGGATATGTAATGAAACAGTGAAGGGGAATCGTCGGGATGGAGGTCATCATGGTAAGTGAGACCTCGGTCGGGAACCAGAGTCTCAGTTCGGAGATGATCGTGACTTACCCGGGAACGAACCGCGTCACTTCAAGCCCGGACTTCTTCGCAGCATCCCAGACCTCCAGCTTTGGGTGATACAGCATCAATCCGCTATTATTCTACTCAAATCAATGGGACAAACTTTGAACAGTCAACTTGTCAACATTCCGACTGAAAAAAAAAACGAGACCGAAAGAAGGACTTACCATCGCCGCCCACCCCGACGGGGCAAACCTCTTCACGCCCGCCTCTTTCGCAGCTTCGAGAAGTGCAATCTGACTCGCTACGATCTCCTTCAGATCGGGACTAACTAGCGTGACGATGACGGTGTGTATGTCTTGAAGGGCGGATACGAGGGTAGAGTGGTTCGAGTAGTCGACTACACGGACTTCGACGTGTGGATTGTCTGGAATTGGTTTGGAAGAGCGGGAGAGGACGATGGGGGTATGTTTGCGGCCGTTTAGGATGCTGTGGTCGTAGGTCGAATGGGTGGATATGGAAGGGATGGTATATTGGGTGAGAAACACGATATTGTGAGAACGTACGCTTGGATGATGTTCAGCCCAATACTCCCTGATCCGCCAGCGATCGCTACTTTAACCATGTTTCAGACCCTAGTGAAATCAGCTGAACGAAGAGAGAAGAGCGGACGACGAGAGCATCCAAGATGCCTCGCTCTTAAGTATCTTCATCATGGGCGCAATGGAGGGTGCAACCAGAACAATGATGCAATCTCAGAACCGATGATACGTGATATGAATCCGTCGGGACCTGCATATACCTGAGTACCGTACCTATTGTCGAAGTCGAATCATGGCTGCTTGACACGTGCTTTAGAGAAACATGAGATTCCCAAGACTCAAGAAGTGAGTGAGAGTGAGAAGATAGTCGGGAGCAGTTCCTGATTCTCTGGGATAGTCACACGGTCGTGGTTTGGTGAATAAGCAGAGCGAGAACGGGACATGATGGAGAAGAAGACATTGAGCACTGGGACCAGAGCCAGAAGTGGAAGAGGTCGTCGAATAGCGTGCAGTGCTTGCTGTAGCCCAGGAATATATAGAGTTCTATGTGACCCTGCAGTTGCAAAGATCCATGATCCTTGACGATGTTATTCTAATAGCGTTGATCGAAATAAGGCCTGCGTGGAGCAAAGAGAAACGAAATCGAATCTGACGTGTGGGCGGTCCATGTTCAAGTATATGAAGACTATTCAAAGTACAATGGACTGTAAGGGTATCAGCATATCGGGCTCCAGGATCAGGACTTCCGGGCATCTACGCACCTTGCGTATATATGTGGTCGCAAGGCTCCGAAAGCGATGTTCGACGTTCAAAGATCACGCTTTGCGAGGCCGTAACAAAGAAAAACAGCGTTGTAAAAATCGTTCAGAGACATCCGACTCGAGATCGAGATCAGGGAGATTCATATTGTCCACAATTATCACTACCATGCGACTTATCCTCAAAATGAAGGAAAACCTCGACCCCACAAGGCATATCCGGACTCGAACCGGACCACTCACACCCACAATGACCAGATATATCCTGTACTTGAGTATGTGATAGACCCACTGCGCCATATGCCCATATTAGCACACTGCATAGAAAGGTCTTCAGTGAGGCCCGAGAGAGATCGCAATGAGGCTTGAATGACATGGAATTCGGAAGAAAGGAAGGATGGCGTTCAGAGATAAAGGAAGGATATTCTTCGGGCATTTGCTCCGAAATGTGATCGGCGCCATCGAGTAGACCAAGGGCACCACTGAACTTTGCAGGAAATGAGAGAGCATTGTCATTGCACGGCGAGCCACTAGGTAGCAAATAATCGGGCAAGACTCGATATAGTAATTTATCGGGACCCTCTCCACGCCGTTTGCTGAATGACGAGCAATCACGACGGACCCCGACCACACTATATGGTGATTGCCGCACAAAACAAGACAGGAACTTACGGGTCGCTCATCACATACGGATGCTATGAGCACTGATAGCCATTGAACAATAATGAGATGGATGTTCCTTTGTCTTGAGAAAAAACGAGTATGCAGGATGAAACGTCCTGTAATCTGTCCGATACAACGCACGTGTACAGACACGTCGAATGGGCCGCATCACTGACTCGACAACGATATGAATCGGGAGGGAAAACCCGAACCGTCGCATTGAAAAATCGACAAAGAAAAGAAGATTGTCGTTGGACAATGGACATATCCGGAGTTGAACCGGACACCTCTCGCAGAAAACGTTCGATTGTGCCACACGATGCTAAGCGAGCGTGATAACCAGCTACACCATATGCCCATGGAGGTGTGCTTTGTTCAGCTTTCTTGGAGTTTAACAGGATATAGGACTTCATTGTGAGACACAATGAAAAGAGATGGGGCTGTACCGAGGCGAACCTGTGCGGCGTAATCGCCTTGAGCCTTCGAGTGCAGTACCAGACGAACACGAATGAAAACTTTACACGATATAGACAGAGTACTTCTCAAGATACCACGGATCAACGGAAACATCGCCGTGGACGATGGAAGGACGGTCTCGACAAGGGAGAACACACTACGTGCATGGGTATGAATACGGTAGAACTAGTTCTCAGAAGAACATGACCAGACTTGAGATACAGTGCGACGCTGCAAAAAGGAGCCCATCGTGTACGTTCTTGGCAACGTTCGACATGAATCGAGAGTTCCCAGAAAGACGAGAGGACGTTGGACAACGAAGAGTGGATAGCCACATAAAGACCCGATCGTCCCAGAAACTGATGGATAAGCAATAGCGTCGCCAAGCAAGGCTTTATGAGTCGACCATCCACCTACGAGGTACTCGTCAATCTGCCTCATCACAAGAAAACAAGGATTAAGCTTTCAACGGCAAAGTTCATGCTCAGGCATTTTTACGACAGTGATACATGCCCGAATCAACGACTCTGTCATCTCCACCGTGTAATTCGAGTTCGAAATCGACCGGTGTGAGATGGCATATGGCGTTGAAGTAACAACCGAGAGGAGGGAGAGGAGGGCGCGAAGACAGAAGGAATCAGGGATCGAGGAGAGACGCGGAGGAGACAAGAAGCAAGGAGCTAGAGTCTGAGGACCGGGAGAAACTAGAGATACGCGCCAGAGCATCAGACGCACAATCACACAGAAGTCGAGGTTGAGAGAAGTCGTCCACTAGATATACAGCGACACAGTCAAGAGGGAGAGAGTTGGAATTGGCGAGGAGCTGACGTGTTCCGAGGCCGTGGGAGGATCAACAAACGGAGTTTGAACACGAACGAGGTGGCGTTGTGGCATTGTGGCGAAGTTCTTCCTTTCACGTCCTTTCGCTTCTCGCGCGACGAGCTCTCCAGATATCAACCTCTCTTCTTCCCCATATCATGTCTCAACCCTCAAAAGATTGTGTGTATATCTGTGCACAGTTTTAAGTCGGGAAGAACAACAAAAGCCTCCTCGGAATAAAAAAAGAAGAGGAGAATAAAAAGGTAAGAAAAAAAAGCTGGGGTTTCTAGTTAGTAATGGACATATCCGGAATTGAACCGGACACCTCTCGCAAACATGTCTAGCTTCTCCCCCAGTCATGCTAAGCGAGCGTGATAAACCAACTACACCATATGCCCATGAGAAGGGTGCACGAGTACGTGTTCTAACTTAAGGACCATAGTGTCTTTGTTGAGCGGGGTGAAAATGATGTCAGTCCTCATAAATTCATATCGTTCGAGACAGGCGA